TCGCGTTTGAACTTCTAAATAATTAACTTAAAAATCGATGATTTTGTAGGTACAGACCATTCTTTTTGTCTCTTCCGGATTATTTTTTTCGTCCTCTCTGAGGTATGCCTTCAGATGCCCAGCCAGCGTTGAAGAAACGTTAAAAACAAGACATTTTTGACATTACAAAAGCAATTTCCGAACCTTTTTACCCGGAACGCTGCAGGAGCTGTTATTCTTTTCTTACGCATGCATTTCGAGCTTTTTCATACGCATTTTGACTTGTTTGGAGGGACATAGTGATGTTATCAAAAACGGAATTTTCTTTTTTGTTTTCCCAATTTGATGTTGAAAAACCCTATAAATCTTCCGGTGTAGGGAATTGAAGCGAAAATTTTGGTAGAGCAGGCTTAGGGCTTTCAAATGCATATATATTAGGTTGATTCAAGAGTTCTGCCGCTTTCAACTTGGAAAATCTGTAATGTGAACGTATTGTTTACGAAAAAACCTTCTGATAGGAAAATTCAACTATTTTCTGATCAAACTCGCTGCTCTTTGATGGAAAAGACTCCAGAGATATAAGTGTGAATAGGAAGCCACTTAAATTCGTGATTTACGAGAATGAGTCGTCAAAAATCTGAAACGCGGAACTGAGAGCATGTCTCTTATAGGTTTTACAAGCTGGTCTTTCTGAAAGTGCCAAGTTTTTGCGGAAGAGCTTTTCTATGAAAAGTTATGATTTTCGTTAAGAATGCAGAAAAATGCAAAAAAATCATTTTTGCAGAAATCAAAATCTTTTCGGGGGAGGAGGGAGGCGTTTCTTTCCCCCCCCCCCCCCCTCGAAAATGGATCGCGAAATTCTTGAAAGTTACTTGTACAAGTTATGAAAATGGACAAGCGACTTGTTCATACTTGTCATAATTTCTAAAAAATTTCAAATCAATTTAGCCTTATAAAAGAATACCTGCCCCATACAAAAGTGGAAAAATTCTTTAGTAAATCAAAGAGAAAAAATGCAAAATAAATGGAAAAAGCAGTCTCTTGAAAGCCAGATAAAAACGCTGCATTGAGTATGATATTATTCATTCGGCGACACTTCAGAATGCGGGTTCTCGTTCCTGGACCAGACAATCCATAATGCGGGCAAAACAATCAAAAGCTAATCTCTTCTTCATGATAGCAAGTCGAAAGTACATTAAAGGCAACCTAGTTTTTGATACGTCCTATGAATGTTCATGAAAAAGCTATGAAAAAACGAAATTTTTGAAGCTTTTCATCAAATATTCTACCAAATCGAAGCACAAGCTCTGGGGCGTTGTCTACATTGTGAGCGGAAGACAGATTTATCCAATGCATGATGAAAAGAACTAGATCGGAGAAAGAACAAGAGAATTTTGAAAAAATGGTTCTTGTCGGATTTCTCATTTAAATCGAAAAATGGGATCTTGAGACGTCGTCTGCGTGAAAGTAGAGATTGAGAGCCACAGTATGAAGTGCAGTTTGCTAGAATTGGGCTTAGACCAACGAAGAAAAGGACACCGGGGCCAAATGCTCTGTGCCTCGCGTTTCGAATTCGGAGGTAGCGCGCTACACTGAAATCGCAGACGAGCAGCGGGACCAGAGCGAAGGGGCATGGCTCTACAACCCTACTGCAAATTCCCAACAAAACCGTGCAATATTATTATCATCCTGATCGTCAGGACACAACTAGGAGCACTGACAATGTCTCAAATATTGGAATTCTCAACGAGATCAACCAGCAATTTCGTGCACGACTATCTGCGCATAATTGTAGCGAAGCTTCTCATTTTTCGTTAGCTTCTAATTACCTGAAACGATTTCAAAGAGGATTGTTCAACTGGTTTAAAGCCTCGTGGCATCCTGCGTGTGCAATGGCCACAAACTCACGACTCTCAATCACGCGGAGCCCAATATCGGCGCGATCTAGAGGTTCCTTTTGACGTAAATGTACGTGAAAAATAGCTTATTCACCACCATTTCTACATCAGACGCTACATATAATGATGACCTTGAATAGGTGGTGTATACAGCGCTTGAAATTCAATAAATATAGCTGAACCAAAGTTTCTTTTATTGTGGGAAAATACATATAAGTCAGCAAAGAAAGGTTACTTGTACATACTATAGGATTGAGGCTGAAAATCGAATCCTTGTTTATTGTATTCTTTGTTGAGGGTCGCTGTGATTTTGCACGGACCGCAACTCTTTTTAAACAGCCCTGTCCTACACTTTCACTGCAATAAATGAGCATTGATTTTCATTAGAAAAAAAGTACTTTTTCTACCTTATGTGTAGGCTTTGCTCTTGCTGTAACAAGGAGGCATATCATCAACAAAAAAAGAAATAATCTTGAAGATAGCATTACCACTTCCTGAATGTGTTATGGCATGTAAAGCCAGCAAAACTAAATAACGAAATGTTCATCAAAATCTGAAATCATTCAACTGCTGAAACTGGCTATCTTTGTTGCTACCACAATAGTGAGACCTTGTAGGTCCTACTAGGTTGTCTCTTGGATTTTTTTTTCAGTTTTGAATTTGTACCGCAATAGGTCAATAGGGCACTTTTCAACATCAGTTATGATGCTGGGTGCCGTTCAATACCCTCGACCCCGACTTAGAAATCGAAATCTAGGAAATTTTATATGTCCGAAAAATCACAAATTTTTGAAACCTCAACCAAAGAAAACTTACCGGATCTCGCATTCTCACTCATCGCTCCACATAGGAAATACTTATACGCCGTTGTTGTATTTTTTTTTGAAAGGAGAAATCTAAAACTTTAAAGCTTTAAAGAAGCGATGCTACGCTGTTTCCCCATATGAGCGTATACTAGCCTTTAGAAACATGACCGTGTATTTTCAGTTTCCTAGAAGCGTTAGTTTTCGAGAAATATCGAATATATTATATATATATATATATATTATAGTTTTTCTCGCTGGGGTCTTTCATGTTGAAGTTGATTTTTCTCAGCTAGAGCTTCGAGAAAGCTGGAAGTCTGCAGTTGCACTCCGAAGACTTGTGGTATACATTTACTTATGTGGGAACAGCGCAGCATCAGTCTCTTGGGAGCTCGAAATTTCAGTTTTCTCAGTTTCTAGCACAGAAACAAATACAGCAACGGCATATATGAATATCCTATGTGGAGTGTATATGCGTGAGCGTGCCAGATCCGGGAAATATTCTTTGGGCAAAGATATGAAATTTTTCTAGCTTTTCAGGCATCCAAAACTTCTTAACTTTCGACTCCTACTCGACGTGCACTGAAGCCAGTGCAATGCTTACACGCCATCTTATAGAGCGTGCCTGCTCTATCGAACGGTACCTTGCATACTGACTATTACAGAAATGAGAAGTACATGACTTATTGTGATGAATGTCAAAATTGAAAAAATCACAATTGACCTAATATATGGAAACACGACTCCGAGCCTTCCCAGAAAGCAAATTTATAGAGTAAATTCTCCTGCGAAAGGCTCTAGAGTTCTCCAACAAAAGCAACATTTTCAAGATTTCGTTGATCAAGTCAAAGAAAATGCAGCGAAGCTTTGCCGGAGCACCATCTTTGTCAAAATCATTCACTTTTCAGATTTAGTTTTTGAAGTTCGAGGACTGCGATAAGAAACTAATACCTGCCTGATTTTGTTAATCTTTCAGATAGGGAAGTCGAAGTGGACTTGTGCTATTGCTAAATGTCAAATGTCTCTGTTCGTTCCTTTTATGCAATGTAAAAGTGTTTGCTTTCAAATAGTTCGGAAATACCACCTACATCCTGAAACATCTGCATATACATCACAATTTGAGGGAGTACTATGTACTGCGAGAATACATAAACTTGCTTGTTTATAAATGAACCAGCTTAGCAAACGCTTTCATACCCTTTCATCGCTAGTGTGAAGTGCATCAGACAAATTATCTTTGCGCTCTCTTCACAGCAAAAATCCGTTGTTCTACTACGTCCAGTATAGGACATATTGGGGTCTATATCTCCCAGTCATTGTTGCCGATAATATGCGTACCTGAATCTATTTAGGCACCACACATGAGCTTTCAGAAAGGTGATTATCTTTCAGATCGGAAATTTCTTAAATACTCTACTACCGTAACCTGTCGGGATGCAGGTATACGTAGAAGTTCAATTGTTACACATCGCAGCATTGAGTACAACTTGCATAGCTACAAAGGTCAGACGAGTCATGAAATTCAAAATCTTCCCCAGTTCAAAACGGAGGTAATTATAAAATAGCACGGTGATGTCATTCTTCCCAAATGCATTTTCAGTATGTTGTTTTACTGTACAAACCTCTGCAACATAGCTAAAAATCCAAATTAGCCTTTTAAGGAAGCCCAGCTTCTCGACACTGTTCCGGCGCACTAACGCATCGTGCTGGACTGAGAAGGTACTTGAGCTTAGGAAAAGCTTAAACTTGCCACAGCGTTTGTAAGTATAATATTAGTTCACTGGTAAATTTATTCGAGCACTTTGAATGTCCTAATTAAATGATGAATAAGTATATAAAAGGAGTTATAGCCAACTCGTAGTACATGACTCAAACACCAATTTCCCACAAATATTTATATAGGCAAAATAGTGGGACGAGCGCTTTTTCGGAAAACGATAGACATTCAAAGCATGACGAAGAGAGCACATTTCGCATATGGCCGAAATAACAAAAAAAATCAAGATGGTCAACACCAAGTCTGACATTGTATAATTTCAAAAATCCAGTTATATGTCCTTAATAGACGAAATAAATCATGTTTTATTGCCAGAAACGGTCAGCGGAATACGGCTAATGTGTATGGTCAAATGTCGTAAATCTTAAACCAGGAAAAAAACAACACAACCTCAAGTTTTGATACCATTGCAAGTATCTGAAAGCTAGTATCTGATGACACCGATATATCTGTGAGAAAAAAGAAAGCTGTTCGCGTGATCGATGATAGCAGCAGATACGACTGGCACTATCTGGCAAAGTCTTTTATTACCACAGAATAGCGCTCGTCCATTCTTCTCCTCATATCAAAAACCAAAAGGATAACCCATTGGTCCACCTGTAATATGCTCTGTTGAAGCTCACTAATGGCTAGCAGTAGCCTATCCGTACGCACCGTATCCGTAGCCGAATAGACCTGGAAACATAGGTGGTGGCGGCACTGGAGGAGGAATCCCCATGCCTGAAACATGAAGACGTTGCAGTAGCGAAGTACGAGACTTTTTAAATGGACTTACCATAACCACCATAAGGAAAGCCGCCATAGCCGAACATACCGCCAAACTGGCCGAAAGCGTTGACCACCATTGAGATCAGCAATAATTTTGCGAAAAGTGACATGATTTTGTATCTCTCAAGAGTATAAAGTGGTTTTCTGCAATGATTGCTGTCGCAGTATCATAACAAATAATCAGGAGTTGCGAATAGAGAGGGTGGACTGATTTCAAGCAATCTTTCGCCGAGAATGTGCCGCGAATTTTTCAAATGCATTTACATGAGTTATAAAGATGTGCAAGTAATGAAATTTTTTGGAAATTCATGTTAGCCCTTCGAAACCCTTTTTTCTGAAATCTCAAACTTGTAGGGCCGAGTTTCGGGAAGTGTCTAAAAAATATTCTTCCGAGTGTGTAGCTAACGCCATGCACCTCGACTTAGAAAAAGACCCCCCCCCCTTTTCCAGATGTAACTTCTGCGACTGCCACCGTGTTGCATTATAACCGTATGCCGTTTGCGAGCTATACCTCTCTGAGGTTTTGTACATAACTTGAGCTCTTTTTTTAGCTCATCGATTGGGTCTTTGAGTATCTGAAGTGCATCAACGAGAAGTGCAGAAAATGTTTTTGTTTTTAGCAGATGGCTTCGGCAAGTAGTTGATTGTGCAAGATAGATGATCTTTAAAATATAAGATGACCACAGAATGCGGACAGTTGGTCCTAGCAAGACTATTTGTATTAGGTTGTGCCGTTCTGTCGTTTCATTGAAAAATTGTAACTTTTCACTACCTGGACGGATTTTTTTCTTCATATTTTTTTATGAAGAAGAAACCTTCTTCTTTGTGAACGCATTTTCGTGAGCTTCTACTTTTACAATGCATTCATTGCGAAGATAAATATGAAAAATATGGTCCTTAGGCTTTCTTACTTTAAGTCAGATCGCAGAAAATCTGAAACGTTGCGAAAAAAAACGGAAAATCGATATCGTCAGTACCTAGGTTTCGACGTACTCTTTGCAAATGAGAAAAATTGTGCTGTTTGAGAAAAATTATGATTTACGAGAAAAGTGACAACAAACACGAAAATAATAATTTCTCGTTGTAACTCAAACAGCAAACTTAATTCGACATTTAGCATGTCATGAAATATATGCACTGACTATTTCAGTTTTTTTCTGCAACATTTTAGATTTTTGGCGAGCTATCTTAAAATGACCAGAGCCCAAATAGTCTTATTTTCCATTTTTATCTCTGCAATGAGTGTAATGTAGAAGCTCATGAGATGCTTTTACAAAGAAGAAGATTTTCTTCGCAGTAAAATTACAAGGAAGTAAGTAAAATTACAAAGAATATATCATACAGGTAGCGAAAAGTTACAAATATTTGAAAATAAAACGACAGAACTTTCGGAACAACTTAATACATACTTGAAACAAGACTCATAAAACATCAATGAATCTTGAGAAAAATTGCGTTTGCAATGATTATTGAGCAAGTTTTTTTTCAGTTAGAAGTTGTGGAGTCGGGGTATCACTAGCGGAATCGTAAAAAATGGTGCAAAATCAATAGGAAGGGCACTTTTTGATGGTCAGGAGTGTTACAACAATTCAGGGAAGCATAAAAAACTGATGTCTTCGATTGGAACGAGCAAGCGCTATCTGTTCAATAAAGAGGCGGAATTCTGTCAGCACCTTAGTCTGCATTTGCTTATATAGAATGGCTGCGTCTAACTTCATTGCCACTTTGAAGCCATTTCTCAATACTTAAGCACATCCTTCAGAGTTGTTAAGTTTAGCAAGGATGTCAAAGAGTAAGAAACTTTCGAAGTGGTAACCAGCGTGGCGGGCTTCTTGTATAAAGGTTTGGTAAGAGACCATCGGCAGCAGAGGTATGTTACGACGGAATAAATTTCTCCTTCTTCTACGAGGATTGAATCTGCTTTTTTGACTGAGGTTGTTCTAGTTGTTCTACAGACTCATACCTAGCAAACATCATATGTTCTATACATATGTATTTTCGTCTTGCATGGGAATGGTGGTCAGTAGAAATTACGATAGAATGCTTACTGTTTTGTACATAAGATGATTACAAACGTGTTTTTCTTGATTGCTCCTTTGGGGCGAAAAGTTTTGAGTGTTTATCAGAGCAGAAATCAAGTGCGCAATTGGGATGACATCACTTTGACATTATTTTTAATATTTAAGGACCAATGATGATCGTCAAGGCGTATTAGGCAATAACTTTAGATCAAATACACAATCATAATACACCTGAGCTCTCGAAAAATTTAGATATTGACACACCAGGTGCGCAATCAATTTTTTTTTGCTTCATTAAGGGCTCTTAACTCCTCGTCTGAGTTTGTTCCGCAGTTGAGAAATTTTGATTAGCAATTATGATGCATGACCTCCAAGACATCTCAATTTTGAAAGGCCACTTAGAATGTTACTGCCGTAGTTGTCAAAATACTTCAGGCAAACGCTTGCGCGTGCATACGCACATATTCACCCCTGATTTCCGTTTACAGTCTGCCCCAATTCTCACCAGGCCAAAATTGGCTTGGCGGGAGTGCGCGTCGAGAGGGTTTCGCGCCACTGCGTCTAGCTAGTCTGCTCTCTCCTCAATCTTTTCGCTCTCTGCGACAGCGCGCGTATGCAGCGCAAACCCCTAGCGCTGCGAGCGCGCAAATTCTGCCGACGATTCGGCCTGATCCCGATTGGGGCAGACTGTAGCTTTTTCTGCATATGTACGTATGTATGCTAGTTTTTCAGATGTAAACGGAAAGTTCTAATGTAACTTGTATGCAGTAATAACTTTAGTAACGTGATTGTCAGATAGAACCATCGCGGCAGCTGTTCAGGAGTTCAGTCCGTAAATTTAGTATTGGTTTATCGGAGGAAAAAATAATGCAAATATCTTCATATGAGTAATTCCTGGCAAAGTTCTATGAGATACATGTGATTCTGAAAAACTTTAGGGGTTCATGAATAAGCGTCAAGAAGACTCCCATATAATGATTTCGTCGTACATACGCGATATGCACCAAGCGCAAGGAACGTCAGCGGCAGCTTCGCCCAAAATGGCTCGATCGTCAACGCGAACCCACTCGCGACGAAAAAGAGTTTATTTTTAGCCGTTAATCAGCAAGGAGACCTTATTTTGTATACTACGACATAAATCAGCATGTGAGATAAGCTCCATGCTCAATGTTTCTAACGCGATCGAAGTGTTTGAATTTTGTCACTTGAGAACGCCTGCTGTAATTCTTGAAAGAAACAAAATTGCAAACTCAGGTGGTAACCAAATATACCCATGTCACATACGACGCACGAATTATTACGAACACTTTTTTCTCTTGGAAATAAAAGTAAATAGCTGCGACGCTGCACGCATCGTTCACGTTGCTGCATCTTTATTGCAACTGTTGAATTTGTCATTCTATCTTCTGAAACAAGGCGGAACAGCTCCATAAAATCATTCAAAAAGTGGTCACTAATGCCCATACCTTCGGTATCTAGAGCCATGTACGTACTCTAGTGACATTCATTTGGAGCGGCTTAAGAAAACGCGACCTTCACCAGAAAAAACAAAAGTTCATAACTAAGTCGGAATGAACGTGAGTGAAGCGATATCTATATATATAAAACTCAATGTCTGTGAGGATGTTCGTTTAGTTGTTCGTTCGTTATAGAAACGCGCGCCACTGAACCGATCCGGCTGAAACTTCGCACACGCATGTTTTCGACCCCGGCGGTGGTTTAGAGCTACTTTTCGCGGCGATTCGCCGAGCCATTCTATCGATTTATTGATTTGTTTACTCAAACCTAAGAAAATGAAGGGCCATCATGACAACCGATCATTTTTACATATGAGCATGTAAGCAGGGGCGGTAAAGTTCATTCTAATCTCAAGGCTGACAGGATGCAGCGGGTTCGTCTCAAAGCGCTTTTCGCGCAATGTAGAAGTTAGAAAGCGTAAGTATCCTCGACGTCAATCCCTAAGTTACATTTGCAAAATGGAGTGTTGTGGTGCGGCCGCCTCGCTTTGGGCTCGCGCCACCTTGCGAGCGCATGAGTTGGCATGGCGTGGCAACAGGAGCAACGAAGAAACGTTGTTCTTGTTGCCACGTTTGAACATGTTGTGGCGCCACGTTGTTTTTAGCGCCACATCACGTCTAAACGATGCCCCAGCAACGTGGCGCGAGCGCAAAGCGAAGCGGCTGCACCACACCACTCCACTTTGCAAATGTAACTTAGGGATTGACGTCGAGGGTACCCTCGATATCATCCCATATGTCTTCCCTCAACATGACGTGGATTACGTGGCTTGATGAGGCGCCGCCTCGCCTCGGGCTCGCGCCACGTTGCGAGCGCATCATTTGGCGCGACGTGGCGCTCAGCAAAACGTGGCGCAGGCTTTTCCACGTTCTTCTTGTTGCCACATCACGCCGAAGATGCGCACGCAAACGTGGCGCAAGCCTGAGGCGAGGTGGCGCCTCATCAAGCCACGTAATCCACGTCATGTTGAGGGAAGACATATGGGATGATATCGAGAGTATGTTGGCTTTCAGATTCGTGTGGAGGCGGGCTGCGGACTTCAGTGACTTCAAGGATAAGCTCGAGAGAAAGTACGAAATTTAATGCTTTAACGTAGAGGTTTAACAAGTTTATCCTAAGGATCAGGGAAGTTTGCAACCCACCTCTATACGAATGGGAGCCGATGACATATTGGTTAAACTAAGAGTCCCGGGTGAGACCGGGACTATCAGCTAGTAGTAATTACTTCCCAAAAACATTTGCACAAATCGAAAATTTGTTTTTGACGCCTTTTCTGTGCAAAAAATTAGGTTTTTGTGAAATTTTCACATAACAACAATCCTTACTGGAACCCTTCTTACTTTGCGATTGGTTTTAAAACTTTACAAAGCGTTGCAGTCAATAAAAGCGAGAAACTGCGCTTTCTTATGCAGAGAGGCGCACACGAAGATGCTGATTTATCTCGCAAAGGAGTGCTTTTCAACGCTGGCGACGTTGTCAGAGCTCCTAGTCATATCATGACGATCAGAGTGATATATAATGTTGCAAGGATCTGTTGAGACCCGGAAGAGACCAACGACCAGAGCCGAATGCCCCTCGGCTCTGCTGTTTTCCTCTGCTCGTTTGCATCTCCGCAAGT